CCCCATGACCCGGTGCCCTACCTCACCCCAACAAACGGGGGTCCTACACCTCCGACCATACAACATCTCGAACGGTGGTTGGTCAATACTAGCATGATAAATGTTATTATATGAAAACTCCGCTAGCGGGAGATATGTATCCCAACTCCCTCCAAAATCCAACACGTATGCCCGAAGCAGATCCTCAAGTGTCTGGATCGTCCTTTAACTCTGGTCATCTGTCTGGGGATGATAAGTTGTACTGAAATGTAATTGAGTGCCCGGTTCCTCGTGGAACTTCTTCCAGAATCGGGATGTAAATCGAACATCTCTGTCAGAGACTACCGACACTGGCACTTCATGTCTAGCCACCACCTCTCGCACATAAATATCTACCAACTTCTCAGCGGATATACTCTCATAGATCGGAATAAAATGGGTACTTTTCGTCAACCTGTCCACAATCACCCATATAGCGTCCACACCCCTCGCTGTCCTTGGTAACTTTGTGATGAAATCCATAGTGATCTCTTCCCACTTCCACATGGGAATGGGTAGCGGTTGAACCTTTCCATGTGGCTGTTGATGCTCGGTCTTGATCTTCCTGCAGGTCAAACATCGTTCCACAAACCAAGTGATCTCCCGCTTCATGCAGGGCCACCAATAACGTAGCCTCAAATCCCTATACATTTTTGTAGCCCCGGGGTGTATAGAGAACTTGGACCTGTGAGCCTGCTCAATTATCTTCAATCTTACTCCTCCAGTCACCGGTACCCACACCCGACCACACTAGGTCAGGAGTCCTCAGCTATCCCGAACAAACAAGGGATATTGTCCTCTAATTCGCTCTATCTTCCAATTCTCTTTCTTCACACCCTCGACCTGAGCCTCCTTGATCATATCCAACAATGGAGAGATCATTGTCATCCTTAAACAAACGTTTCTGATCAGGGAACCTGCCGCCTTGCGGCTCAAAGCATCGGCCACAACGTTGGCCTTTCCTGGATGGTATAAGATTTCACAATCGTAGTCCTTCAGCACGTCTAACCACCTTCTCTGCCGCATGTTGAGGTTCTGTTGATCCATCAAATACTTCAAAATCTTATGATCAGTATAAATAGTGCACCATACTCCATACAAATAGTGCCTCCAAATCTTGAGGGCAAACACCACATCCCCCAATTCCAGATCGTGGGTGGGGTAATTCGCCTCGTGGGGCTTCAACTGCCTCGAGGCGTAAGCTATCACATGCCCCCTTTTCATCAGTATTGCGCCCAACCCTGAACTCGACGCATCACAGTACACTACCAAATCATCCAGCCCCTCAGGTAATACTATAATCGGAGCCTCGCATAACCTCTGCCTCAGGGCCTCAAAAGCCATCTGCTGATCCGTACCCCCATCGAAATGTCACATTCTTCTTGGTCAGGCGAGTCAAAGGTACATCAATCTTAGAGAAATCCTGAATGAATCTCCGATAATAGCCCGCTAAACCCAAGAAACTACGGATCTCGGATGCATTCTTCGGTACCTCCCACCGCATCACTGCCTCAACCTTAGCTGGATCAACCAAAATGCCCTCCTGATTGATGACGTGCCCCAAAACTGTACTTCTCGCAGCCATAAATCACACTTGGAGAACTTGGCATAAAGCTTCTCCACCCTCAGTATCTCCAATACTTCCCTCAGATGATGCTCATGTTGCTCCTTGGTCCTAGAATAGATCAGGATATCATGAAACCGAAAACTCATGACAACCGAAAACTCACTCGAAAGACCCGAAAACGGGTAAACCCTACTCGACTCGTCGAGTCAGCTAAGGGACTCGACGAGTTCCTTCAGCCTCCTTCAAGTTCAACCCTTTTCAGTGGGATCTAAGGCCCCAAACTCCAAATCCACGCCCTCTTAATGCAGATACCACGTAAAGTTGCAAACTTTACGTGCATGCAAGGTCCTCCAAGGCTATAACTTCAAAACTAGGCTTCCTACAATGTTCTTGTGCATGGAAAGTGACTAAACTACATGAAGTGAGCAACTTTATGTCATTGGGGACCTAAAGAGGTCTAGATCTAGAACCATATCCATGTGATAAGTCCATATCCAAGTTTTGACTCCATTTCACACTAAAAATGGCCATTTACTTCCAATAAAAAGGATCTAATCAACTAGAGATCAAGGTGACGACTTTATACCTTGAAATGATGGCCAATACAAAGTAGATGTCGGATCTACTGCTTCTCTCCTACCCTTTTCTTCTTCTAGCCCTAAAGTCATTCACAATTACCCCAAAGTTGCTCACAAAAGCTCTTTCTCTCACTCAAGAGGGTGCAAGGTCGATTTAGGTTTTTCTCTGGCTAATAGAATGGTAAGGGAGGCCACAAGAGGCGTGTTAGGTTCCTTAAATAGGGGCAAACCCCAAAAAAATAGGGTTTCTCTACACAACTCCTACTCGTCGAGTTGGGGCCTTCCAACTCGTCGAGTAGGTTCCGACCCCGCGTCCATATAACAACCCCTACTCGACGAGTTGGAGCATCCAACTCGCCGAGTCCATGCACAAAACCCTAGAATTCATATAAATCAACAATACCTGAAACAGGTGTTATAGATGAACTTTCCAACAAATTATTATTTTAGCCCTTTTTATCGGCTATAACCATTAACTTGCTTACATACATTTTTTAATGATTCATATTAAAACTTTATTAAAATTAAGATGGCTTTTAAAAATATGATGAAAATTTAGTCTCTTATAAAAACAAATGCAATCGGTCTTGTAGAGAAATCGAATCAGGTATGGTGTATTCATCTTTAAAAAACATGAGATTCTAACACTTCAATAAGTTTTTGTACAAATCATAAAAAAAAGGTCACATAAGCCGGTTAAGGGTGATAATCGGTTTAAAAAAAAGACTAAAATGAGACAATTTAAAAGCTTATTACCAAAAAAATAGACAAAAATAAATTTAGTGACTAAAAATAGACAAATAAAATAGTTTGTTGGTCATTTATAATATTTTCTCTAAGTTTAACAGATGTTATATACGATGCCATGTTAAAATAGGATGGTTTTGAAAAGCTAATTACCCAAATAATTAAAAATAAAGGGTTAGTGACATAAAAACCCCCAAATTTATATAAGATGTTCGGTTATGTCCCAAGTACGTTTTTTGGTGTGTTAATGCCATAAATACCGGAAAAATTGTTCATTTTCCCCCATGACCGGTTTTTCCCAAGGTTCTAAAAAGCTCGCAATGGCGAGCCATGACTCCAAGGCTTGTATGTGCAGCAAAGCTTTACCAAAACGCCGCATTGACTCATATATGTGTATAAAAATGAATAATAGTTGAAAGTACATATAAAAATATGAATTATATACAAAATTGACGCCCTAAGACGTAGCTCGGAACCTTATTTGACTTTGACGACTTACTGACTTGGAGCTGAGTCAGCGTTGCTGATTTGCTTCCACAGAAAAAATAAAGGCAAACAACACGTTTACCAACTAAGAAGTAACGCCTTTTGTTATTGAGTGTCTAAAATAATGGATTTAATGTATATTCTACTGGAAAATTTTAATAATATGTATTCAAAATATTTTTATTATTTTATGAATTTACGCATACATTTTTAAACGCATAAAGAGCATATATATCTTTAAAATTGTATTTGTATTTTAGAAATATATATAAAGACCTTCATGATTTATACTTTTAAAAATATATAAGACTGTTCATAGTGTATAAAAAACATATTTATATCTTTTAAAATCGTATTTTAAAACGTATTTAAAATATATGTATAAGTTAATAAATAATAATAATAATAAACTTTGTTTTGTTTTCCAATAAACACAAAATTTATCATATGATATATTTAATTGCGTAGCAAAAATTAGAAGAAGATGTTGGCTGCTTGCTTGTAAGGCGTTAGGAAGTTTAGGAGGTGACCCATGTTCGAATACTTTCGGTCCCATTTCTTATTCCTAATTCCATGTTTTTTAGTTAAAGGATTCGGCAGCAACTTCTCCACGTCGGTAGGAATGGGCCCAATGAATGTCACTTACCTTGGGTAAACCGACCAGGGGCAATGTTTTAAAAACCGGTTAGGTGACGTTTTCCCCGGTTCAACCGGATGTTTAAACCATACAAAAATTGTCATCTTTTTAGTATTACAAACGTAAATAGAATGCAACATACAAAAACAATCATTATAGAAGCCAAAATCAAACAAAAAAGCCCAAAACAAACACAAAAATCCAAGATTGTCCGGTCCATTCCGGTTCAATTCAGCCGGTTGAACCGATTTTTACCAAAACCGGCCGGTTTAATCCGGTCAGGAAATTGTTATAAAACCGGTCCAAAGCAAACCGTCCTCACCTCCGGTTTCCGGTTCGAACCGGCTTTTAAAACACTGCCAGGGGGTAAAAATGAAAAAAAAAATTGATATTTGAAGCATAAACACACTAAAAAATATACTTGGGACATAACCGAACATTTTGTATAAATTTTAAGGTTTTTATGTCACTAACCCAAAAATAAATTCAGGGTCATTTTCAAAATTTTCCCTATGACAAACACTACAAAAAATGTTTAATGTACTTTTGCCAATACATAACCTAATCAAACATGATGTTTTTGTACCGAACGACTTCTAAAAAAAACGATTGATAGCTTTTCTCAAAATTAGCATATTTCATAAATCAATTAAAAACCTTAAGTTAACACGTTCCAAGTTTTTATTAGTTTTAATACAATAAAAGAAAAGAGAATGTGACCTTTACAAAAAACTAATCAAAATTTGAAAATATTATTAATATTAGCCCTATGTTTAAAATGTTATTGCGTGCGTGCCCTTTTCCCCAGATTTAAAATCAAAAACCCTCCAAACCCATTGTCCTCCTCTCCTTCAAATCAGTCGCTTTCCCCCCTTCGATTTTGAATCCATAGCAATCACCTATATCAGTAGAAATCATCTGCTTTCGCATCGAAAATCCGACTCTATTGAAGATTAAGAGAAAATCAATGGAGAGCGATGAATCTAAAGGTGGGGGTGGAGGTGAAGGAGCAGTGTTAAAAGGAGTTCCGGCGTACGGTGGCAAATACATTCATTACAACGTACTTGGAAACCTATTCGAGGTTTCTTCCAAGTACGTTCCTCCCATTCAACCTGTAGCCGTGGTGCATACGGCATCGTTTGGTAATCACGCTAATTCATCTCTATGTTTTGTGTTCGTCGAATCTAAATTTCTGTGTCTCTAATTTCACAAGTTTACAAGGGCTGGCACTTAGATGTTTATGATATGTTGCTCCCTTACGTCAGCTGAACTTGCAGCATTTTGTGGACACGCATTACAACGGGGAGATTGACTATTAGTCTAATCTTTACATCTTATGAAGTTATGAATTAGTATCAGTACAATAATAGTTGCAATGATTTCGATTGGTGCTAACGTTTGAAATGAAAATTGATGCAGTGGCTATATTAGAAATGTTGGCAATCTGAAAATAAATTGTGAAATTAATGAAGAACAACTAGCTCAACAGTGAGTTCCTATGGTTTCAAAATAAAATTAGCACAAAAGAGAATTCATGAATTTCCTCTTTTCAATATGTGGAAGCACCCCCTTGTCTTAATTTATAGCTGTTCTTTCCTTGTTTTCTCTTTCTCTTGTAATCTTGGGGTATTAGGGTTTGCTTCTTCTGAAGAACCAATTGAAGAAATTCAATTTGTGAGCTTATTATAAAGTTAGGGGTTTGGTTGTTGCTAAATTATCATAAAATTGCCTATTATTCATTTCAAACGTTAATCTTATTTATGGTTTTCTTATAACATAACCTAACCAAATTGTCACTGTTTTCCATTGTAGTTGTGCTAAAGATTCTGAAGCAAAGGAAGATGTTGCAATCAAGAAAATTGGGAATGCATTTGATAACAGTATTGATGCCAAGAGGACTTTAAGGGAAATCAAACTCCTCTGCCATATGGATCATGAGAATGTAAGTAAATTTTATTCTGAAAATCCTTCAAACTCATAGCATCTAATACACAAAATCTTTTTACAGATCATCAAAATCAAAGACATCATACGCCCACCAAATAAAGAAAACTTCAATGATGTTTACATTGTGTATGAATTAATGGACACCGATCTGCATCAAATCATCCGCTCTACTCAAGCACTAACAGATGACCATTGTCAGGTCAGTTTATGAAATCTTTTATAGATTTTTATATTCAAAATGTTGTGACATTTTTTTTTTAATATTTCCAATGTATTTGGTATGGCAGTATTTTTTGTACCAGTTACTTCGTGGGCTGAAATACGTACACTCTGCAAATGTTTTACACCGTGATTTAAAACCAAGCAACTTGCTTTTGAATGCTAATTGTGATTTAAAGATTTGTGACTTTGGGCTTGCAAGAACAACATCTGAGAGTGATTTCATGACAGAATATGTTGTGACAAGGTGGTATAGAGCCCCTGAGTTGTTGCTTAATTGCTCAGAGTACACCACAGCCATTGATATTTGGTCAGTTGGTTGTATTTTAATGGAGATTGCTTTGAGGGAGCCTCTGTTTCCTGGTAAAGATTATGTTCAACAATTGCAGCTTATAACTGAGGTACTGTTTTTTATTATCTGGATAATGATTAATGGAAATACAATTCAAAATAACAATAAAATATCTTATCTGTTGAATACAATACAGCTTCTTGGTTCTCCAGATGACTCGGATCTTGGATTTTTGAGAAGTGAGAATGCTCGGAAGTATGTGAAACCACTTCCACATATACCCTCCAAGACTTTTCAACACAAGTTTCCAAATTTGTCCCCACTAGTGATCGATCTTGCAGAGAAAATGTTGGTTTTTGATCCATCCAAACGCATAACTGGTAAGGGCTTGCTTAATCAGGAAAACATCTTTTCTTGACTGACTTTATCTGTTAACTACTTTTTATAGTATTAATTAATATATAATTTACATTTTTGTAACATGTTTTAAAAAGTTGAAGAAGCGCTAAATCACCCGTTCTTGCAAAGTCTACATGAGATAAATGAGGAGCCGATTTGTTCGTCTCCATTTATGTTTGATTTTGAGCAAGCAACTTTAAGTGAGGAAGATGTGAAGGAGCTTATTTGGGAAGAAACTTTGAAGTTTAATCCAGATAGTGAAACTGAAGTGGCTGAGTAATCTTGATTCTGAATTTTTTGAGATATTTATCTCAAAATTTGTCTTGAGAATCTTTTTTGTTTTGATGGAAGTTATATGATAAGTTCTGTTTTTGAAAAGCAGAAGGATACCAGTGAGTTTCTTGCTTGCAGCCTTGAACCAGAGAAGTAACAACGTATCATATAACAAATGATATGACAAGGCTTCTTTACTGGCTTGTACTTTGTGTATTAAGAGTTGTATATCCATTTGGAGTTTGTGTTTTTTTGCTTTGCAGAAGGGTCGTGTATCTGAATATGTAGATCAATTTTTTGTTAGTTTTCGTTAAAAAGTTTATTGGTTTGAGTTTAAGTTTTGAAGACATTTGAAGGGGAATTTGGCATAAAACTCTTTTTAAGTTTACATCATTTTATAGGTTTCCCTTTTTTTTTTTTTCCTAATTTTAATTTTTACCCTATATTTTTCATCTAGCTTTATAGTTTACCCTTTCCTTTTTTCATCGGCTTGAGGTTTCTTAAAATGACAATTGCAAGAATACTCTAAGTTTGCAAAAAAATTATGATTTTAACTTAAGAATGTTTTTTTTAGTCATTTTACCTTTTTTGTTGTTCATGTTGAATTGTCATTTTTGTTGATGTGGCATGTCATGCCAACATCTTGTAAGTAAGCATCTATAAGATCCACATACACTTTATTTCAGTACTCCATAGTCCATAATGATTCCCATAATCCAAAAGACATCTTTTCAGGAATTAGCAATTGAATCACAATAGGTTTAATAGTAACTAAGTACTTAGGTAAACAAGTCCAATCAACACAAAATATTTAATCAGCATGAACCCGAAAAAAAAAAGTAAAATGAGTAAAATCAATATGTTGCATAAAAATTATGGGATAAAATTGAAAAAAATAAATAAATAACATACCTAGGGTAAAATTGTAAAATTCTTACAAACTTAAGGGTTTTTTCCTACAAATTTCACTTTAACGAAACCTGAAAATCAATGAAAAAAGGTAAAACTAGAAAGTTAAATGAAAATTACCCATGTAAAAGCAAAAAAGAAAAAGATAAAACCAATAAAATTGTGTAAACTTAGAGAGTTTTTATGCCATTTCCCCTATTTTAAGCGAGGTGGTTTTGACATTTTGGCTATGATCACGTACTATCCTTTGATGTCATCAGGACAAAAGTTTTGATTCTATCAAATTATTAAAAGGTTTATTTAATTTTCTTGAACTATAAAAAAGTATCAAATGAAACTGGCCAATATGCGGTTGGATGAAGATAACAACACGATTATCATGCAACTTAAGTTAAGTTTATAATAATTAAAAATTTAGATAAAGTTTGAAGAGTTGATTGTCAATTACAATTTTTTTTTTGAATTAATTGATTAAGTTTTAAAGTATTTATATTGATGTCAGTTTTCACTTTTTAGCGTAAATTACATTTTTGAACATTGAGTATAACTAATTTTGGTTTCAAAAAGTTCTTTTACAGATTTTGTCCATATTTGAAGATTCACATAAAAAAATGAAATATAATTAATGTATCTGAAACAGGGATTAAAAAAACATTACAAGAACCTTAAATAAGAACCAAAATTACAAAAGAAAACATTTCGGGACCAAAACTGAAAATGTAATTTACTCTTAGTTTTTATGAATTGCCCTCAAAACAAATACTTAAAGTGACTAATTATTAAAAGAGAAGATGCACACTTGATGTAAAAGGAACAACTGCCATTATTATTATTATTATTATTATTTTGTAAATATCAAAGACAATATACAAGGTTAGAAGTACATTGTCATAATTAGGTGGAATTAGAACTTAATGACTTGCTTAGGTTGGCTTCCGAGCTTCCCAAGTGCCTTGTCTAATGCTGTGTGAAACTCATTAAAGGGAGCAAGCTCCATACTGCAAAAAAAAACATGACTTAATCTGGTATGTATGCTTCTTTGATTTGATACATAAAAGAACAACTTAATAAAATAAAATAAGAAAACTAATATAGACCTCCCTCCCCATTAAGTCCCAACTTCTGACACATTCACACTCATTTAATTATTTTCCTTAATGGGAATAAATTGAGGACTTACTCGTATTTCAATTTTCCCTCACGAATCAATCCCAAAAGGTAATCTATCATTTCTCTGCATTCTTCTTTCCTATCTGAGCTAATCCATTTTTGCAACCAGAATCCTTTCAACGAAAGCTCCTGCATGCAAATTCAAATTATCATCATAAACAATCATTTTGATGATTCTTAGACAAAATTAATCATGAAAAAAAGTTTAATTGCGCTACAGATTTCTACTAAGCATTTAAACTATTATAAGCAATATTAATAGGTTGTGTTTTTATGACATCCACAATACGAAAATGTTACAAAATTTAGAAAAATCAAATGGGTCAAATGTGAATGAATGATAAAATTGATTACTTACTTTAAATATGAAGGATGAAGTTGATACAGTTACAGGCTTCTTAGCCATTCCGCCAAAGGTCACCATTGTCCCACCCTGCCTGAAACCATTATTCGTTTTTAATTCCAAAGAAACCTTAAAATTATGATTTTTTTTTTTTAATAAATAAATAAATAATCTCACCTTAAGAATTTAAGAACCAAAGAAGCAGCATTACCACCAACACAATTAAATCCCAGTGCAGGTTCGGGTAAATTATCCTACAAAATGATTAAGTGAAAAAAAAAAAAGAGAGCAAATCATACCCTGACAGCTAAAACAATGAAGTTTGTAGGTTTTTCAAATGAAAATTACCAAAAAGCCCTTGACATTTTTTACATCAAGCTGGCTCTCGGTAAACACGACATCAGCACCAAGTTTCTTGAGTTTCTCTTTCGCATCATCTGACCCTGGCCTACATGTGAATAAAATCCACCCCAATCAAACAATATTACAAATAATCAAGCACTGAAGTATTATACAAAATGGGGAAAATGGGAAATTGTTTGCTGACCTGTCCCTTATAATATTGATGGTATGAATGCCACGGAGTTTAGCAAGCTGAATCACACACTGTCCAACCATGCTAGTTGCTCCATTTTGCACAATTGCATCCCCTACTTATGTATAGACATAAAATCATTACGTAAAAAGTACACTAAAAATTAATGATAAAAACAGACATTTTAGCACCTGATTTGAGATCCACATAGTCTTCTATCATCCTTAGTGCAGTCAAAGGATTTATTGTAACTGTGGCAGCATATTCAACTGGTGTACCTCTATCGATTTTGTGCCAGAAATCTTTATCTTTAACAACATGTGTCTGCCATGTCCCTAACAAGAAAACCTTTATCCATTCAAACACATGATTCGTATGTGCATGGGTTTGTAATTTGTACTACAACGCTATCATCATTGATTGAAATCAAGAGTCTACCAGGTGAAGGTGGAGATGCCATAACCAAATCGCCAGGAGAAAGACCTTGTACTGCTGAGCCTATTGAGTGTACTTCTCCAACACCTTCATATCCTGCAACAGTTGGGAGTGGTGGCCTCACAGGGTAGACACCTACATGAACATGTAAAACTCCAATTCTCAACATTATGTGTATATGTAACATTATCAAAAGTTACAGTGATTTCATATTGTTGGATTGCTGATTTCATTGATACTAGATGCCAAAAACACTTTCGCAGTTTCAAACTAAATCTGTTACTGGAGATTAGATGCATTTCATCAGGTAAATATAAGCATCAGATTAATGCATTGATTATTTGAATAAATGTAAGAGGGAGGTTCTTAGTATTTGGTTGACTTTTTGGTATTTCGATTCAAAAGATAAGAATTAGGTTAAGCAACTAGCCGTGATTCATGGAGATTTGAGGCATATGTGCCAATCACATCATCCTCTTTCCAGTTTTAACAATCAATCAAAAGAAAACTGAAGAATTGATAAAGGAAAATTTACGCACGCCGGTAATTACGAGTCATCGTCTAGTGAGAAAATTCATAAACCGGGAACCAATAGCAACAACAAATGAATAGGATTAATAAGTGTCATTTCAAACCTTCGATTCTATTAATGTCAGATGGATTGATGGGAGCAGCAAGCATTTTAACACAGACGTCGTTTTGCTCCAACTGGAACTGGTGGAAGTTCGATTACTCTGCACACAAGTTTTTTTTTAATGAGTTCATCATTTGGTAATTAAAATTGTAACAGAAGCCAGATTATTAAGAGAGAATATAACTTGGTGACAGTATCCGGAGGACCGTGCTTCTCATAGAACACTGCTGTAGACGGCGGCGACTTGAGGGCGGAGAAAGCCCTAACGATGCCGGAAGTATTAATACGAGGGCGGAGGTGTTGCGAGTGCGTCCACGTTCCATGGATAGCTTTTAGAGTGAAAAACCTTGCACATGCCATTGCTATGGAGTTGATCTCTCGGTTCCTACTTCCTACTTCCTCCAACTCTCCAAATTGTTAGATCGTCAACACTTTGTTTGTAATTAAACCAGGCGAATTATATAGTTAAAATTAATTTATAAACCGGTTATAAAATTAATTAAACTTTTATAATAAAAAATTATAATTATTAATCAATTATTTTAAATAAATTATTAATTAAGAGATTTATCAAAATTTTAAAGTTATTATAACTTCAAGTTTAACATATAATTAGAAAATGTAAATTTGAATTTTGAAATGAGTTGCCTAATATATGTACATGACACATGACATAATATTAATGAGGAGTGTATTAGATTGTCACTTGACAACAAGAGATTAACACTATTTATTTATTAGAATAGGGATTTTTATAAATATATGTTGTTAAATTTGATATAATAATTCATATACTAAATTGATATAATATATTAATTCTTTGAAATATATGATAATATATACATCTATTATAACTGAATAATCTCAACTATTTGAATGACTTCTACATGCGAGTTACTCATAAATAAAATTAAATATAATATATGGTTTAATGTTATTTATAATT